ATCTCTTGTAAGACAAACGGTGATGCAGGCCACACCCCAGGAAATAGCCTCTTACCTGGATTCAGGGCTGTGACCTGAGTAAGGGTGTTGTAATCGCCTGATGGTACCCGATTGCACAGTAGGGTGATTGCATTACTCCTTAACTGTCAAACCACTGAGGGTCCCGGCCCAAGCAAGGGGACACGTGTTTCTGGAGATACAAGTCACTCCAGGACATCATCCTTGGAGAGTTCAGGTCAGCAAGCTTTCACTGCCCCCTCTGTAGATCAGACTGCCGATCCGAGGCAGGGTGCACAGTACTCACTCACAGTGGGTGGGGGAGAGCAGCCCTGGAAATGGGTCATGTGGGTGGGGGGAGCTCTGCTAAGTTCAGGGGGCCTTCCTTTCTCCCTTTCCCTGCAGGGGCCTGGGTTTGGTTTTTGTCAGAGCCTCCCACATGCAGTCACCACCTGCCTGTCAGTGACACTGAGTCTGACCCCTGGGAGACGTGTGTGCTGAGCAGACTAGGAAGAAAGGCCTGGGGAGTTACTTCAGAGAAATCAACCAATGATCTCCAGTTACTCCTCACGGAAGGAGAATGAGCCTGGGCTGGGAAACGTCCCAGAAGCAGGCCGCTGCCTCGCTTTCCACGGGGCAGGCTGGTGACTGCACACTGCCGGCCTTTCTCTCAGCAGGCCCGAGCTTCACTGCCGCACCACCAGGCGTCCTGGGTGACCCCCGAGGTGGGTGAGCTTAGTAGTTAATCAAAAGGATGGGGGCTTGAGTGCACCCTGGAGGTGCTTCAGAAGAAAGGCCTGGCAATCTCTCTCTAAAGCATCACCCATGTAGCACATTTCCATTCTGACTTGGTGCTGACAGAAGGTTTGGTTTATGTCACCTGGTATGATAGAAACATGTACTTCAAGAGCCTTGCTCCGGGGCCAGAGAAGGTGTCTTTCAGAACTCCTTCCTTGAGTGTCTCACAGCCACTTGCGTGGTGGTGGCAGATGTGAGGTGGGGTCATGGCTCCCCAGGTCTCTTCAGCTACAGCCTCTCTGCCTCTGGCCACCCCCTGTGCATGTGACTCCAGAGAAAAGCAGTCTCTTGCTGAAGCCAACTCGGGAGCCCCTGGGCTGGAGGCACACCCTGCCTAACACAGCAGGGTGGACTTCCTGGAAGCAGCAATCACGGGAGTCAGATCCTAATCCCACATTGGATGCTAGTGCTTGGGGTCATCGGGCTCAAGGGAGGAATGCGCTTGTTTGGGGAGAGATGGTTACCTCTCTGTTGATGAGGCAGAACAGTAAAACTTGGAGTTAATCAGTGTCTGAGTGGGAAGAAGATAAAAAGAGCTATTAGAAACGGGTGGTGCAGTGATTACTTTTTCGGCTGCAATCTGCAAGATCAGCAGTTCGCCACCACCAGCCACTCCACAGGAGAAGACAGGGCTTGCTACTCCCATAGATGGTTATAGTCTTGGAAACTCACAGGGGAAGTTCTACCCATCAACTTGATCGCAGTGACTAAGAGACAGACAGACCGTCACAGCAGTGAGGCAGCTGAGTTCCTACTGGTGAGAGGGCATTTGGGAATAATTAGAATTACGTTGTAGGTGTTTTTTGCTTTGTAAAGTCAGATGAATTCTATTTAAGTAAAGGGCATTTAGGGTTTTCTTATTTTTCCCCCTTTGGGTGTTTAAGCAGGTGGCTTGCAACCTTCAATCATAATGACTAACTTGGTCATTAGGTGCTCACTCAGTGTCAGGTGCCGACCTGGAAGACTAACCTGTATGTACTCATTTGATGCTCACAATGACCTCGATAAGATTGCCTCCATTTTACAGATAAGGAACTTGGGGCACAAACAGATTAAGAAACATGTCTGAGGTTACAGAGCCAGAAAGCGATGGGCCTGCAATTCCAGCCCCTGGAACTGGAGCCACTGCAAAGAAGAAAACCCACTGCCATCGAGTCGATGCCAACTCATGCCAGCCTAACAGGGCATTGCAGAGCTGCCCCTGTGCGTTTCCAAGGCTCTACTCTTCACGGGTGTCAAGAGCCTCGCCTTTCTCCCGAGGGACGGCTGGTGGTTTCAAACTGCTGACCTTGACGTTAGCAGCCCAACACAAAACCACTATGCCGGCAGGTCAATGAATGAGGTGGAGGGACCTGGAGGCCACGCACCCCTAGAGGGGTGGGGGCTGCTACTGGGCCCCAGGTAGTGTTACATGTGGGGATGGGAGCCCACTGTCTGAAATTTGTCCTTTTAATGAGACAGTGCTTAATTTTAACATGGCTTTGCTGTCAGACCAAACCCCAAGCACAGCCAGATGGCACCACTGGGCTCCCACGGGTTTCACTAGCAGATTTTCACAAGTAGATGGCCAGACCTTTCTTCCTAGTTTGTCTGAGTTTGGAAGCCTGGATGAAGCCTATTCAGCACTGTAGCAACGTGAGCTGGATTACTCAACAAGCCGGATAAGCAGGGGCTTGCTACTGCTTACTCACTCATCTCAATTTCACATTTCCCCCCACCACATGGAAGAGTCCGCTTCTAGGTAAGGCTGGCATCTGTCTCTCTCCCAAGCCCACAGCATCTTCCTCCAGAATCAAAGCCTCTTTTCCAACTTACAACCCCACCGGGATGGAGTCCTGGGAAGCGAGGGGAGCCTGGGCTGCCTTGTGCAGACTTACCATCCTGCAGTGAATCGGTACACGGGCACAGCCCAGCCCAGACTCACCTCACCTGCTGCATGGAGCACCCTTGATAGCAGCCTACAGGTCTCCACTGACGTGTGTGTGTGTGTGTGTGTGTGTGTGTGTGTGTGTGTGTGTGTGTGTCCGAGTTGCATTAGATGGGGATAAAGTTAAGCATTCTGCCACAGAAACACTACTACGTGCTGTGCCCGAATGTCAGCTATGAGTTCCCCCAAAAAGAAGATTCCTGAGGGATAAATATGAGCCATCTGTAAGCTGTATCTCCAAGTTGTGACTTGTGGGTAGGTGGTGGCAGGTTTGTTGTAAATAATATTTAGCAAAAGACTTCCTGTAGGTAAAAAACCTATTAGCCTGTGGCACCTCCAGGGTGAGACCCTCTCTCTTTACAAGCCAGCACAGCCCAGGGCCTCCCCCGGGGTGTCGGGGGGTGTCAGAGGGAGAGCCTGTGGGCAATGAAACCTGTGCTTCCTGTGGTTAGGCTCTGTGGGGTGCTAAACTCAAAAGGAATAGCCCTGGAGCTGTAGTGGGAAGGTGTTAGGGCTGCTAACCGCAAGGTCGGCGGTTTGAGACTATCAGCCGCTCCAAAGGCAAACGACTAGGCTTCCTTTTCCTGTACAGAGCGACAGGCTCAGAACCCCACAGGGCCCGCTCTGCCCTGTCTTGCAGGCTCCTTATGAGTCGGCCTCCCCTCGATGCAGCGAGAAAGCGGGCATCACGTCCTTATTGCATATGAACCGGAATCCACCTGCTCTCCTGTAGACTCTGACTCGAGGTGACCCCACGTGTATCAGAGGAGACAGGAATCTCCAGGGTCTTCAGCGGCTCAGTTCTCCCCAGTAGATCAGCAGCCCTTTCTTCCAAGGCGCTGCGGGGTGGACCCAACCCGAGGCTTTCCGTGAGCAACACTGTACCAGCACTCCCCAAATCAAACCCGGCCCGCTTCCATGGAACTGAGCACTAGGTGGAGTTTCTGAGGCTCTAAATCTTTACCGGAACAGACAGCCTCTTCTTCCTCCTGCAGTACGTCTGGTGTGTTTGAACGTCCAGCCTTGAGGTTAGCAGCCCAACGCCTAACCCACATCCCCACCAGTGCACCCTTTACACCACCCAGGGACATAGTTTTACATAGTATTTAAGTTTTCCCTCACAATTCCATGGTCTTCGCTTATACCTGTCTTGTTCTCTTACTTCCACATCTGTTCTCCATCTGAACACAGAAAGTCTAGGAAAGGTGGGAAGTGGCCCTGCCGCTGTCACTAACTTGCAAGGTGACTGAATAGGCGCCCGGTCGCTTTCACTGTCAGATAGGAGTGAGACGTTGGCCCCATCGACCTTACAAGGCTTCTGTGAGGGGAGAGGAAACCAAGCTCCTGGATATGCAAACCCCTGCCTGCCCAGGGGCCACCCCTGCTGCCGCTCCTCCCTGCGCTTATTAAGGTGTTTTCTCTGTTTTCTCCACGTTTGCTACGTGGCCTAGGAGATGCGTCCCGCAGCCTGGCTGCCCTGGTCTTGCCTCCTGCTCCTGGCCCCTGGGGCCCAGCCCTGCCCCGAGGGCTGTGATTGCATCGGCCAGGAGGTGTTCTGTTCAGATGAGGCGCTGCCCGCTGTGCCCCAGGACATCCCACCCCACACCAGCAGCATCCTTTTCCTGGAGACCTCCTTCTCCAGGGTGGGCACCAGGGCCTTTGGTGGCAGCCCCAACCTCACCAAGGTGGTCTTCCTCAGCACCCAGCTCGCCCATTTCGGGCCGGAAGCCTTTGGGGGGCTGCCCAGGCTGGAGGACCTGGAAATCACAGGCAGTGCCTTCTCCAGCCTCAGCCCTTGCACTTTCTCTGGCCTGAGCTCCCTGGGCAAGCTCACCCTCAACTTCAACCAGCTGGAGGCTCTGCCCGAAGACCTCTTCCAGCACATGCCCGACCTGGACTCACTCCAGCTGCAGGGCAACCGGCTCCAGACGCTGCCCGCAAGGCTCTTCCAGCCGCTGGGACGTCTGACGACCCTGAACCTGGCTCAGAACCTGCTGGCGCAGCTCTCGGAGGAGCTCTTCCACCCGCTGCTCGGCCTGCAGAGCCTGCGGCTCAGCGACAACGCTCTGGCCGGCCTCCCCGCCGGCGTGTTCGGCCGCCTGGGCCGCCTGCGGGAGCTCTTCCTGGACGGCAACGCCCTCTCCCGGCTGCCCGCCGAGCTGTTCGCGCCGCTGCGGCGCCTGGAGAAGCTCTGGCTGCAGAGGAACGCCATCGAACACCTGCCGCTGTCCATCTTCGCCTCTCTGGGCAACCTGACCTTCCTGAGCCTGCAGGGCAACACGCTGCGGACACTGCCCGCCGGCCTCTTCGCTCAGACCCCGGGCCTGGCCTCGCTGTCCCTGTCGCACAACCACCTGGAGACCATCGCCGAGGGCGCCTTTGCCAACCTGTCCAGCCTCCGCTCCCTGACGCTCTCACACAACGCCCTCACCCACCTCCCGGCCGGTGTCTTCGGGGGCCTGGAGGAGCTGGCCCGGCTCTACCTGGGCAGCAACAACCTGACGGCCCTGCAGCCGGCCCTCTTCCACAACCTGTCCCGGCTGGAGCTGCTCAGCCTCTCCAGGAACCTTCTGACCACGCTCCCGGAGGGCATCTTTGACACCAACTACCACCTCTTCAACCTCGCCCTGCACGGCAACCCCTGGCACTGCGACTGCCACCTGGCCTACCTCTTCAGCTGGCTGCACCAGTACAGTGACCGGCTCTTCAACATCCAGACCTACTGCGCCGGCCCTGCCTACTTGAAGGGCCAGGTGCTGCCCGCCCTGGAGGAACAGCAGCTAGTGTGCCCTGTTGCCAGGGACCGTCTGGGCTTCCAGGGCCCCGGCCTGGACGAGCAGGAGCTGGGTGGGCCCTGGGATCTGGCGGCGGAGGACAGGGTGGCGTGGGGCCGGAGCCGCTGCACCTACAGCAATCCGGAGGGCACTGTGGTGCTGGCCTGTGACGAGGCCCGGTGCCGCTGGCTGAACATGCAGCTCTCCTCTCGGGAGGACTCGGGCACTCTGGGGCTGGCATACAATACCAGTCAGGCGTGGGATCTGAGGTCGAGCTGTGGCACCATGCGGGTCACTGTGTCCATTGAGGAGGGGCCAGGGGACCCCTAGGTACAGGAGCTAGAGACCTGGAAAGAAGGGGTTGGGTCCAAGAGACATTGAGACCCATTTTTCAGATGCAAGGTCACGGCTCCAAAGGGGAGGAGGTGAGTGAGATGGAGCCTCCATCCCCAGTCTCCTCCTCTTCCTCCTTCCCTCCCTCCCCTTCTCTGACTTCCCAGACAGTGCCTAGGGGAGTCTGAGACTGCTTAGAAGACACCCCTTCAAGCCATATCTCTGGAGAATAAAGCAACATCTGGACCCCCACAGTGTGTTTCCATTACTCTCCACCCTCTTGGCACTCGCTCTCCGCCCTCAGACTCAGGGCCTGGCCAGAGAACCCCAGCTTCAAGCAGTCAGTTCAGAGCATCCAGCGTTCAGAGTGCCCCTGTTCTGGCCGTACAGAATGGCAGCCACAGCCTTTGATACCCACCTGCTGAATTTCTCTTTCTCTTCTTGGCAGTTTGGTTTTCATTGTCAAGGAGAAACACACTGGGTGGTAGGAGCAGGAGCAATCAGGAAGATTAGGGCCAGGGGCTGACACTCATCTGTGGGGGCGTCATCTCTGGCACCATCCTCTGGGAGAAATGAAGATGGGAAGGCACCTGGGGCATGAGGCCCGCCAAGGACTGAGAGGGTTGTGGCAAGGGCCAGGGCCTGTCCTTAAACCACACGACTGCTCCCTGGGAGGGACAAGATGCCTCCGAGTAGCCAGGAAAGCATGACTTCCTGTCTTCTTCTCTGCTGGGGCCCTTTTTAAAAAAACAGCGAGGTGCAAATTAATTAAGCTCTGGTGTAGGTATTGGGCTGTGAATGGCCAGGTCAGCAGTTTGAAACCACCAGCCGCCCCTCGGGAGCAAGACAAAGAATGACAGTCTTGGAAACCCGCAGGGGTGGTTCTAAATTGTCCTACAGTGTGGCTATGCATCAGCATCAGGTTCGATGACAGTGATGATGGAAGGTGACCTCTGCCCCTGACAGGCTCACCCAAGGAACAACTCTCCCTCAGTCCCAGCAGGTTGGTTTAGAGCAGCGGTTATCCTGTGCGTCCAACGACTCCTTTGGGGGTCAAACGAGCCTTTCACAGGGGTCTCCTGATTAATAACGGTAGCAAAATTAGTTATGAAGTAGTAATGAAAATAATGTTATGGTTGGGGGTCACCACAACATAAGGAACTGTATTAAAGGGTTGCAGCATTAGGCAGGTTGAGAACCACTGGTTTAGAGGCAGCCCTGGCCAGATTCTTGCAAGGCAGGAAAACTGCCTTTGCAGAAAGGCGGGACCTCAGGGTGGTTGAGGCTCCTGGACCAGGGCACCCAGGGCAGGGTGCTTTGGCTCGCTGAGCCCTAGCTGAGAACCATCAGTTAGTGGGCTTCCATCTGGGAGTGGTGTCCACAATCTCAGGAAGAGGAGTCCCCAGCTGGGGCAAATGGTTACACATTTTTCTGTTGAGAGAGGCCGTGGTGGTGCAGAGAGTTATGTGCTCAGCCACTAACCGAAAGACTGACGGTTCAAAGATACCCAGAGGTACCTCAGAAGACAGGCCTGACGATCTGCTTCCAAAAGATCACAGCTTTGCAAACCCCACAGCGCAGTTCCCTGCTGTGCACACGGGACACCATGTGTTAGAACATATTCTGTGGAAACGGTTGTTCTTCTAGTCTGAGTAAGCACCTAGGAGGAGCTTCCCAAATGCCCATCCAATGAAAGCCCGCCTGAACGACCACTCGGGTCCACAGCACCAGGCGTCTATTGAAAAAGGAGCATCTAAGAGATGCTTCTCTCATGTATTTTTTTTAACCCCAAACACAACTCTTCATTCAATTCAAACACAATGGTTTCTCCCTCTGCCCAGGGGTGCTGCAGCTCAGGCCGAGGCGGGCCAGCCGCTGTGTGGTTTGGACAATCCTCGCCAAGATGGTTCAATAGGACCGAATGACCTGTAGGGCAGGGTCACCAGATGTAGCTGGTAAACATATAAATATTGCACTGAGCATGCCTACACTCTCAAATGAGTCATTGTGTAGCTAAAATTCAAAGTTCACCAGTATCTTGCATCTTATCTGGGGATGGGGTCTGGGTGGGGAGGTGTTCTCCTGGGGGCCAAATCTGCAGCTGGAAGGACCAGACTCAGGGACACCATTGGGACCTTGTGGGAGGAGCTGAGTGGGAGCAGGAGGCACCGAGCACCCAAAGAGCTGAGCTGGGAGAATGGGCCTGCCCCTGCCTGCAGCCTCTCACCTTGTGGACAGCTCCCATGAGTGCAGCTTCCCATAGGCTTTGGGGTGGAGAACGGGAGACCCAGTCTTGCTCTTCCTTCCCATAAGGCCTTGAGTAGGTTGTGGCTGTCCTCTGGCCGTCTGTTTCCTCATCTATGCAACAAACAGAGGTTAGTTGTCAATGCTGACTGAATCCTAGGATCTCCTGGAAAGCTGAGAAACAGCCAACCCAAACCACATACACCAGTAGTTCAGGGGGTGTGAGGTGGGCCTTTTTGATTTTTAGTAGTATTATCATACTTGATGTTCTCGGTTGATTTCGTGTGTTTGGAGAAACACCCTGGGGCCTGCTGCCTTGTTTTTGGTTTTTGTTTTTTTAAAAAACAATACAAAACAGAATAAGCCCTGCTCCCTACCATCAAGTCCAGGCTGACTCCTAGTCACCCTGTAGGGCAGGGTAGACCTGCTCCAATAGGTTTCTAAAGCTGTGAATCCTTACAGGAGCAGAAAACCTCATTATTCTCCCTCAGAACAGCTGTTGGGTTCAAACTGTTGACCTTACGCTTAGCAGCCCAGCATGTAACCCACTATGCCACCAGGGACCTTGTCTTGCAGAATGAAGATGGCTAAATAATTTCAGTGCACTTCTTCCAGGAAGATGCGACTCCTGCAGGACACTTTGGATGTGCTGTTTCTGTCGTCACTGCTTCCTGCCACTAGTCGGCAATGTCGCCTTGGGCAAGCTACCTAACCTCTCTGTGCCTCAGTTTTCCCATCCATTCAGTTACTCTTGAGCATAATAGCACTCTTAATGGCATTACTGGTGTAGAGACAACAGTGCAAACAGGTAACGGATCTAAAACCATGGAAAAGGGGCCAGTGAAACCCCATGGATTACATGCACTCCATCTTATTGTGCACAGGGTCACCCCAAATCCTCATCACTTTAACGACAGCTTGCAACAACCAAAAACTATGCCACAGGTTAAGTTCTCAAACGCTTTACTCCTTCAGTATCATTTCTTCCGTTTCTCTCTAAGAAGTGAGTGTTGGGGACTGGGGTTTAAAGTGTGGGGTCCAGCCCCACAGTCAAACTGGTCCTTAGGAGCAACGTGTGCAATTATAGGAAAAAGGAGACAGAAAAACAGGGCACTGGGACTGATCTCCAATATCGGGAGAAGAATATCGAGTGTATTCAATAATAAGGTTTTATAGTAATGGGACTCGCAAGCCCCTTGTTCGTACTTACAATGAAATGGGCAATGTGTTCAACTGGACTATCCTAAGCCCTTTAGGGGAACACTTCAAGGGAAGTGTCTGGCCAACGAGAAACAATCGCCCTTTAAGAATGAAAGACAAAAGCAGCGGGTATTCTTGGCGACAGGGGTCCTTTAACTGTGCAGGTGAGGAGCTATAGGAGAAGCGGATCATTTTAGGGGGGTAGATGTGAAGAAACGTCCTTCCTGGAGAGTCGGTGCGTTGAGCACCATCCATGATCTTGGGATTGTGGAGGTGTTCCTTCAAAGAGCAGGGCTGGTCTCCCAAGCCCTGTGGTCACGAGTGTAGAGATGGGGCCGCTTACACTGCCTCCTGGCCTCAGTTTCCCACAGGTAAGTAAGTACCCACCTATTGCTTGGCCATAGCAATGATTTTTCTCTGTTAATGTGAGGTGGTACGGGGCCAGGTGGTGGTTCGCTCTGTTGTGCGCAGACAGGGGCGCTACGGACTTGGACTTGATGGCATCTAACAACATCAACGGCATTGTTTTGTTTCCAGGACAACGTGAAAGCTTCTTTTTACAGATCAAAATGGTATTTGGGGGGATGATTGAAAATAGGATTTACAAAATGATTCAGTGCTAAGAAGTGGATACTAGAGAATTGGATGGTCCTGTCAAAGAAGAGACCGTTTCATAGTAGTCCAATCGTAAAATCTTTCGCCCGGACCCCCCTGTCCCCCTTTTTTCTTCCAGTTTGCTTCCACCACCCGCGCGGGCCGGAGCAGTCCGCACCCCACTGCCATTCCGCAAGCAAGCGGGCAAGCTCGCCCCGGGGTCGCTCCCAGCCTGGCCTCGGGGCGCGCCCGCGGGGGTCCAGAGCGGCGAGATTTGCCTCTGGTGGCCGCCCGCCTGCAACGGATGCTGCGAGGCCCGCTTTCATCCGCAGAAATCAGAAGCGGGGTCCCACAATGGCACAACAGAGACCCGCGGCGGTGGAGGCACGTCCCCGGCGGCCCTGGCCCTTTGCGCAGGCAGCCGGGGCTGGGCGCGGGCCTGCTCGCCCAGCGCTGCGTCGCCACCGCGTGGCGTTCGTAAGGGACGGTTCCTCTAAGTTTATTCCTTCTTTGCAGGGAGCGGATCACAATGATCTACATATAACCCCCTCCCTGGGGGACGGGCAACAGAAAAGTGGGTGAAGGGAGACTTTGGACAGTGTAAGACATGAAAAAAATAATAACAATTTAAAGATTATCCAGGGTTCGTGAGGGAGGGAGGGTGGGAGTAGGAGGGGGAAAATGAGGAGCTGATACCAAGGGCTTAAGTAGAAAGAAAATGTTTTGAGAATGATGATGGCAACAAATGTACAAATGTGCTTGACACAATGGATTGTGATAAGAGTTGTATGAGTCCCCAATAAAATGATTTTTTTAAAAAAGAGGAGTGTGGCATCAGGATTGTGGGAAGGCTTATTAACAACCTGAGATACGCAGGTGACACACCTTGTTTGCTGAAAAGCAAGGAGCCCTTGAAGCACTTGCTGATGAAGACCAAGGATTGCAGTTGAACTCAATGTAGAGAAGACCAAAGTTCTCACAACTGGACCAATAGGTAACACCATAATACACCGGGGAAAGGTTGAAGTCGTCAAGGATTTCGTCTTGCTTGAATCCACAATCCATGCACATGGAATCAGTAGTCGAGAGATCAAAAGACACATTTCATTGGGTGCACCTGCTGCGCAGGACCTTTTTGAAGTGCTGAAAAGCAAGGATGTTACTTTGAGGACTGAGGTGCACCTGTGTTGTTCAGTTGCATTTCTGGAATCAGA